TCAAAGGACATTTAATCAACTACCAAACTCACACATGTTGTGTTTTGTCTGTTTGTTTGCTTTGTTCTATTAGAAATGTAATATAATTTGACTGGTTATCCTGACACAACAAATAAATAAATAGCCAATTGGTGACTCAATGAGGTAGAAGGTAGCTTAGAAGGACTATTATATTATATTGGCCCAAGCCAAGTCCATTTCCCAGAACGATTTGCAAAACAAAAGGACAGGAAGGAGATCATTGCAAAGGTCAAGGGGCCAGAGGCATATTGCAGAAGGGACCTCCAAAGGCCATCTGGACCAAGGCAGGCCAAGCCACGCACACTTGCCACTGAAAGCTTCCAAATGAGGCAGAATATATATTTCTATATTTCTCTCTAGACCAGTGTTTCTCAACCTTCCGAATGCCGCGACCCCTTAATACAGTTCCTCCTGTTGTGGTGATCCCCAACCATAACATTATTTTGGTTGTTGCTTCAGAATTGCCATTTTGCTACTGTTATGGATCGTCATGTAATCCAGGATAGATTTTCATTCACTGGACCAAATTTGGCACAAATTCCCAATACACCCACATTTGAATACTAGTGGGGTTGGGAGGGGGATTTATTTTGTCATTTGGGGGTTGTAGTTGCTGGTATTTACAGTTCACGTACAATCAAAGAGCATTCTGAACTCCACCAACAATGGAATGGAACCAAACGTGGCACACAGGACTCCCATGGAAACAGAAAACACTGGGTCTGGTAGGCATTGACCTTAAGTTTTGGAGTTGTAGTTTGCCTACATCCAGAGAGCACTGTGGACACAGACAATGAAGGATTTAGACCAAACTTGTCATGAATACTCCATATGCCCGAATATGAACACAGATGGAGTTTGGGGGGAAATAGACATTTGAGAGTTGTAGATGCTGGGATTTATAGTTCTCCTACAATCAAAGAACCCCACAAATGGTAGAATTGGGCCAAACTTCCCACACAGAGACACCCATGACCAACAGAAAATACTGTGTTTTCTGGTGGTCTTTGGTGAGCCTTATGACACCCCCTCGCAACCCCCCAGGGGTCCTGACCCCCAAGTTGAGAAATGCTGCCTTAAGGCTACCCAGTCCAACTCCCTTCACCAGGGCAAGAAAACATAAACAAAACCCTCCTGACAAAGAGCCATCTAACTGTATATGCCAAATGTGGTAGAGTTTGGGGGAAATAGACCTTGATATTTGGAAGTTGTACTTGCTGGGATTTATAGTTCGCCTACAATCAGAGCATTCAGAACCCCACCAATGATAGAATTGGGCTAAACTTTCCACACAGAACACCATGACTGTGTTTCGCTGCCCATCCTGGCTTCTGAAGGAGGCCAGAGGGGGATTGGCTGAGTGGGTTAAGGTGGTGGTTAATGCTTCCCTTCGGGAAGGCAAGATTCCAGCGAGCTTAAAACAAGCTATAATAAAACCGCTGTTGAAGAAACCATCACTGGACCCCACTAAATTCGACAACTATCAGCCAGTTTCCAATCTCCCCTTCTTGGGCAAAGTCTTGGAACGTGTGGTGGCCTCACAACTCCAGGTATTCTTGGTAGACACGGATTATCTAGACCCGGCACAGTCTGGCTTTAGGCCGGGACATGGTACCGAAACAGCCTTGGTCGCCTTAGTGGATGATCTGCGCCGGGAGCTCGACAGGGGGAGCGTGTCCCTGTTGGTGCTGCTGGACCTCTCAGCGGCCTTCGATACCGTCGACCACGGTATCCTTCTGGGACGCCTCGCAGGGATGGGTCTTGGAGGTACTGTTTTGCAGTGGCTCCGGTCATTCCTGGAGGGTCGATCTCAGAAGGTGTTGTTGGGGGACACCTGTTCAACCCCACAACCATTGTCTTGTGGGGTTCCTCAGGGCTCAATATTGTCTCCCATGTTGTTTAACATCTACATGAAGCCGCTGGGGGAGATCATCCGGAGTTTCGGGGTACGGTGTCATCTGTACGCGGATGATGTCCAACTCTGTCACTCCTTTCCACCTGCTACTAAGGAGGCTATCCAGGTCCTGAACCGGTGCTTGGCCGCTGTGACGGTCTGGATGAGGGCGAACAAATTGAAATTGAATCCAGACAAGACAGAGGTACTCCTGGTCAGTCGCAAGGCCGAACAGGGCATAGGGTTACAGCCTGTGTTGGATGGGGCCGCACTCCCCCTGAAGACGCAGGTTCGCAGCTTGGGTGTGACACTGGACTCATCGCTGAGCCTGGAACCCCAGGTTTCGGCGGTGACCAGGGGAGCATTTGCACAGTTAAAGCTTGTGCGCCAGCTGCGCCCGTACCTTGGGAAGTCTGACTTGGCCACGGTAGTCCACGCTCTGGTTACATCCCGTTTAGACTACTGCAACGCTCTCTACGTGGGGTTGCCTTTGAAGACAGCTCGGAAGCTCCAACTAGTCCAACACTCGGCAGCCATGATTTTAACAGGAGCGGAGCGCAGGGAGCATACAACCCCCCTGTTGCGCCAACTCCACTGGCTACCGATCTGCTACCGGGCTGAATTCAAAGTGCTGGCGTTGGCCTTTAAAGCCCTAAACGGTTCTGGCCCAAGCTACCTATCCGACCGCATCTCTGCCTATGAACCCACCAGGACTTTGAGATCTTCCGGGGAGACCCTGCTCTCGATCCCGCCTGCTTCTCAAGCTCGGCTGGCGGGGACGAGAGATAGGGCCTTCTCGGTGGTGGCTCCTCGGCTGTGGAACGCCCTTCCTACGGACATTAGACTAGCACCATCTCTAATGGTATTCCGCAAAAAGGTGAAGACCTGGATGTTTGTACAGGCGTTTGAGTAATTTAGTGCAATCTGGTAATGGAACATAGGAATGGAACAAGGGACGATGACGAACCTGGACTACGCTTGGATGATGAGAAGATTGGGTACGGTTGTTTTTCGTAATAATTGTGCATTGTAACTGCTTATTGGTAATTTATGGATAATGTGTTAAGTCAATTGTTATATGTTGTATGGAACCACTGCTGTTTCTACTGTTTTTACTGTTTGTGAACCGCTGTGAGTCGCCTTCGGGCTTGAGATACAGCGGTATATAAGCAAAGTAAATAAATAAATAAATAAATAATAAATAATATACTGTAATATAATTACTTTCTCTTTGGTTTTAGGGTAAGAGATTGATTATTATTATTATTATTTTACTGACACAAAACCACAGTATGTCACAGCAAATGAGATATATATGCTGGATTTCATATCACAAAATCACAAGTCAAACACTTCCCAAGCGTCTAGGACTGTGTGATGTATTTTTGAATGATGCGTGCAGATCCAAGTAAGGTGGCCCTTTGCAGTTGACAGATCATGATATTGTCAATGTTTATTGTTTCCAAATGCCGGCTGAGATCTTTTGGCATGGCTCCCAGTGTTAACATACTCAGCACTTTTTAATCTGTACCCATTACATTCGGCCCGGCCCTAGTTTTATTGTGTTATGGTGTATTGTTTTTATTGTTTACTGCTATTGTTTTATTGTTTGATTTGCTTTAAGTTATGTGTTTTTGTTATGCTGTTGTTTTATTGAGGCCTTGGCCTGTGTAAGCCGCATCGAGTCCTTCGGGAGATGCTAGCGGGGTACAAATAAAGTTAATAATAATAATAATAATAATAATAATATAATATTCTAATAATATAATATACAATAATATAATAATATAAATCACTGGGTTGTTGTAGGTTTTTTCGGGCTATATTGCCATGTTCTAGAGGCATTCTCTCCTGACATTTCGCCTGCATCTATGGCAAGCATCCTCAGAGGTAGTGAGGTCTGTTGGAACTAGGAAAAGGGTTTATATATCTGTGGAATGACCAGGGTGGGACAAAGACTCTTGTCTGCTGGAGCTAGGTGTGAATGTTTCAACTGACCACCTTGATTAGCATTGATGGCACGTGCCCAACTCTCGGCAGCCAAGGTCATGCTCACAGTATTTTGGTATTTTAATGTTTTAGTGTATTACGGAATGTGATGTTTTTAAACGATTGTTTGTGATACTGTTGTTGGAAACCGGCCTGAGTCCCTCTACGGAGGTGAGAAGACCGGTATACAAAAGTTCTAAATAAATAAATAAATAATAAATAGATGGCTTGGCAGTGCCTGGGGCAATCTTTTGTTGAGAGGGGATTAGATGTCCCAGATTGTTTCCTCTCTGCTGTTTTAATTTTAGAGTTTTTTAATACTGGTAGCCAGATTTTGTTCATTTTCATGGTTTCCTCCTTTCTGTTGAAATTGTCCACATGCTTGTGGATTTCAATGGCTTCTCTGTGTAGTCTGACATGGTTGTGAGAGTGGTCCAGCATTTCTGTGTTCTCAAATAATATGCTGTGTCCAGGTAGGTTCATCAGATGCTCTGATGAACCAAATTATTATTATTATTATTATTATTATTTGTAGAAGCTTACCCTGCCAATGAGGTTGGCTCCTTTCCAGCCACAGATCCAGACTTTGACGGCAGGCCTTTTAAGCTAATTGCTTCTAATTATTATTAGCATTTGGGAAGGAAAGGTGTGAGACAGAGGGGAAAGAATAGAGGATTATCTCCCTATAGGATCAAATCCACAAAGACAGGGCCTGCCTCTCACATCTGCTCCGGATTGTAGCCTGAACTTCTCAGAGAGATGCCTCTGCTTTGCCTTTAGGAGCCTCTATCAAATATAATTATTTATAATACAATTTAAGACAATTTAATAGAGTATAATTTAATAAACGATAATCTCATTGAGACCATTGAAAACAAATGCAAAATGATAACAATATTTGTGTGCAATGAAATGAACTGGCTTGGAGGTGGGACCCGAGTTGAAGCCTTCATCCACAGGGAAAGCCCTTGCTGCCAATGAAAGGCGCCTTCACAAATGAATCCATTCATTGACCTCGATGTGGGGCTCCGTGGATAAAGACAGAAGAGTTGCAAAGTCTGTTTCACTTCAATGCATCCTGCTTCCTTCTCTCCATTCAGTCCAATGTCCCTGAAACCAGGCAAAAGGAAGCAGATTGAGGAACCTCTCATGGAGTATTATTATTATCTATATATATATAAATGCTCTGCGCATAATGAGTTCCTTAAAAACAAAAGAACCAATGAACGAAATCACACCAAATTTGGCAGCAAAACATCTTACAACACAAGGAGTGACCATCACTCAAAAAATTATGATTTTGTCATTTGGGAGTTGTAGTTTCTGGGATTTATAGTTCACCTACAATCAAAGAGCATTCTGAACTCCATCAACAATGGAATTGAACCAAACTTGGCACACAGAACTCCCTTGACCAACAGAAAATACTGGAAGGGTTTGGTGGGCATTGACCTTGAGTTTGAGAGTTGTAGTTCACCTACATCCAGAGAGCACTGAGGACTCAAACAATGATGGATCTGGACCAAACTTGGCACGAATATTTCATATGCCCAAATATGAACACAGATGGTGTTTGGGGGAAATAGACCTTGGCATTTGGGGTTGTAGTTACTGGGATTTATAGTTCACCTACAATCAAAGAGCGTTCTGAACCCCACCAACGACATAATTGGGGCAAACTTCCCACACAGAACCCCCATGACCAACAGAAAATACTTAAGGCCATCCAGTCCAACTCTCTTCACGAGAGCAAGAAAATGTAATCAGAGCCCTCCAGACAAAGAGCCACCCAGCCATACATATAGATAGATATGATTCACAAACACACAGATATAGTATCATAGATTTGAAAGGGACCCCTGAAGAAGGACAATGATATGTGGCATGTTCCAGAGTAGGCAAACCAGTCTGCACATCAACACTTACAAAGAAACAGCAAGAAATACTGTTTACCTACAAGCATAAAGAAATTACATACATTAGAAACCAACACTTTCTCATTACATTATTTTCTAGATCAACAGACTGGGCCACAGCAACGCGTGGCAGGGGACAGCTAGTCATTATTATTATTGTATATTATGATCTAAAATGGTTATACAAGAAGATGAAAGATGTGGCAGAGAGAGAGGATGTTGTCCAAACTATATAATACATACTAGCCGTCCCCTGCCACGCGTTGCTGTGGCCCACATGGGGGTTCTGTGTGGGAGGTTTGGCCCAATTCTACAGTTGGTGGGGTTCAGAATGCTCTGTGATTGTAAAGGTAAAGGTTTTCCCCTGACATTAAGTCCAGTCATGTCTGACTCTGGGGTGTGGTGCTCATCTCCATTTCTAAGCCGAAGAGCCAGCGTTGTCCGTAGACACCTCAAAGGTCATGTGGCCAGCATGACTGCATGGAGCGCTGTTACCTTCCCGCCGGAGCAGTACCTATTGATCTACTCACATTTGCATGTTTTCGAACTGCTAGGTTGGCAGAAGCTAGGGTTGACAGCGGAAGCTCACGCCGCTCCCCGGAATCGAACCTGCGACCTTTCGATCAACAAGCTCAGCAGCTCAGTGCTTTAACCCACTGCGACACGGGGGCTCCTTGTAGGTGAACTATAAATCCCAACAACTACAACTCCCAAATGTCAAGATTCTATTTTCCCCAAACTCCACCAATGTTCACATTCGGGCATACTGAGTATTCGTGTAGAGTTTGGTCCAGATCCATCATTGTTTGAGTCCACGGTGATCTCTGGATGTAGCTGAACTACAACTCCAAAACCAAAGGACCTTGCCCACCAAACCCTTCCAGTATTTTCTGTTGGTCATGGGAGAACTGTGCGCCAAGTTTGGTTCAATTCCATCGTTGGTGGGGTTCAGAATGCTCTTTTATTGTAGGTGAACTATAAATCCCAGCAACTACAACTCCCAAACGACAAAATCAATTTTTTTGAGTGAAGGACATACATTGGGTTGTCAGGTGTCTTGTGTCCAAATTTTAACATAGTAATTTTCAAACTCTCATAGCCACATTTCGTTCCTTTTATGTAGATACCACTGAGCTAAAAAAATTGTATCTCCTGAGGAGAACAAACTCTCAAGTGTATAATTTTGTAAGTATTCAAATGTGTTGTAACTTATGGAATTTAATGGATATGTTCAACAAATATTGATGTAATAACAAGTGTGAAGACTTTACTAATTTCGTAATGTGTAAAATACTTGAATATTAAGTATTTCTACAATATAATCATTTTCAACATAGTAATTTTCAAACTCTCATAGCCACATTTCGTTCCTTTGATGTAGATACCACTGATTCAAAAATATCTGGATCCCCCGAGGAGAATTTGTTCAAGTGTATAACTTTGTAAGTACTTAAATGTGTTGTAACTTATTTATTTATCGTGTCATCCGCAACCAGAACATTGTATTACATTTCTAGCAGAACAAAACAAACAGACAGATAAAAAACAAAAACAAAAAACACAAATTTTGCAAACTTGGTA